CGGTGCCTGCTGCGGCATCAGCTGCTGGTTCTGCCGCGTCCCCTTGGCTCTTTTGCCTGCAGCATGAGTCTGAGATGTGGCACCTGAATCCAAGGTAAAGGGGCCCGCTCTGGTCACTGACTGCACGGAAGCTGCTTGTGCTGAAGTCCTGTTAGGTATGCTTGAACTGGTTTTGGATTTGATGTTTTCAACATCAGGTGCATTTCTATTGCTGTGAAGGTGTGCTGCTGCATTGCATTGTTTATGATTCCCTGCACTGGATCGTGAAGACGAACTGCCCGCTCCATAGATCCCTCTGGATGAACCGTGATTAGAATCTGATCCAAGCGGATTCAAGCTGAAAGAACAAGTGTTTAAATATACTCTACAGGGTCTCCATGCTTCCAAGTGAAAAAAGAATCATCATGTGCAAAAGAAACCTTGAACTACACTGTTCTTGGCGTATAACCAACAAAACGCCTAAAACTTGTCTGACAAGCGAGTAGCCTTTGCCATGTTCACTTGCTCACTGTACATGGGAACAAAACGACAGTAACATGACAGTCAATATATATGTTAGAGGGAACACTGAAAGGAGATGATCTTTTTTAACTTAAGACACCTAAGGTAGGAAGTTCTGGCCTGCAATTTTTCTGCAGTCTATACCTTTCATTTTCAAGAACACTAACTGGAAACTTGGCAGGATTTGGTTTTGACTGGTTGGGGGTTTTCTTTCTTTCTTTTTTTTCCAAAAGACAAATATTCCTCATAAAATCCATCTTTTTACCCAAGCCATCTTTTTCTAACTAACTGGGAGGATCTTTATCCATTCACGTGTTATAAAGAGCAGCATTACTTTCTTACTGGCCTTATAACTAAAGAAGAAAAAAAAAAAAAAAGGAAAGCATCCCACAAAAACCCCAAACATATACTTACTTTCCATCAGATGAAATTCCAACTATTCTCCTGAGATCAAGTGGCCTTCCCATATCAAAGGGAGGGTTTGAGGCCTCAAAGGACAGACGTCTTCTAAATGGCTCCCATATTCCTTGAGCTTCTAGATAGGCTGTTCCAATTACCAAGAGAAAGAGTACACTGCAGAGAAGAGAGGCAGTCACCTCAGTATTTCTTAGTTTCAAGCATTTCAAAGTTAATGAATCTGATCACACAAGACAAAGCTGGTATCTTGTACTGAAAAGCTGAAAAGTGCATTCAAACCACAACTTTGCCTGATAGAAATATGAAATACCTAAGTCTGGCATGATAGTTACATCACTAATACTGAGAATGGAAGTTAGATGCAAGCCTGACACACTGTTGCCAAGAATATTAATCAAAGGAAAAAAAAAAAGATAAAATTAAAATATTAAAACGGCATCCAAGTGGTCAGCAGCTCTCACAGCTTGTTGGTGCAATTCCATTTTCAGAGCAGAGACCTTCTGTAGAGAACTATACTGCTGCTCAGAGAAGTGAATTTTAAAAGCATTATTTCAAGGCGATTTACAACTAACTGCATCTGCTGCAATACCGTGTGTTTAGGAGTTCTCCACTTACATAACACACTGCAGTGAAATATATTTTTGAATGAAGCAATAAAACCACTGCAGAGACCTTCACGACAGGGCTATGGATTTCATCTTCTAACAGGTGGGAGTTTCGGGGGGAGGAGACACAATGACAACGACTAAAGCTTGCCTTGCCTATTATACTAGAAAGTTTATAAGAACTTTAAAATAGCAACTGCAGTTTCTGTTCTCTCCCCTGTTCTGACTGCCAGTTTTTCTAAGACAAATGTATGAAAACCAGCACCAATTCACACAAAAGGATGAGATACCTCTTGCTTAATTTTAGCTAAGTAATCTATTTGAAACATCATTTAAGTTTTAATTGTCACCAAAACTACAAGCAACTCTAGAGACCAGCAGAGCTGGTGATAGCTGGTTATCAGTGCTTTTTTCCATAACCAAAGGATTATAAAGGATTCCAGATGCATAATCAGATGCCAGAAGGTAGGAAAGATAAATTTCATCCAAGGCGTTAACAAACAACAGAAAAGTTAAAGAAATAGGGGAATTTTTCAGACAGGCTTACACAACCTTACTCCAAAGAGTAATGCTTGCCTTGGGTCCCACGCCATCAAAACTGGAATGACTTTTGGGATGTAAGGAATAAAGTATAATCTCTTTCACTTGTTATTTTAATTCATGATGCTATTTGAAAGTTTCACAAGAGTGACACCAACAACAGCATCGCATCTCTATCAACCACCATGGCTGCTACACAAACTTGGGATGGTTTTGGTGGGCTGGGAGACACTCTTCCCCCTCAGCCCCACAGCACTAATGCTGGGCTCGCAGAGGTTGTACAGGGGAGCCTGCAGTAAAAGGCCACCTTGAGGGCTTCTGCTCCTCTGCCACTCTCTGGGTAAGGACTCTACTCCCTCAACATAAGTCAACTTCGGTGTTTTGATAAACGAATACCATCTTTGAAATGAAAAAGAAGAAAAAAGCTAATCATGGTTTGTGGTCTTTTTAACTGTACTTTCTGGTTTTGGTGTGGTGGTGGGAGCAGTGGTGGTTTGGGGTTTTTTTGATTTTTAAAAAAATTATTAAAAAAAGAAAAACTTAACTAGCCTGAAGTGATCATGTCATTTAAATTACAAAACAAATTAGTGTGAGGAACACCACACAGTGGGGAGTAACACCGTTTAGACAGCCAAGAATCATCTTGGTACATCCCTCTTTCCCCTCATGGTTTTATCCTGGAGCACGCATACACCTAGTTGTTAAGTTCTTCATAAAAAGGACTGGCTCCTACGTCATGTTTGTACACACCCTATCAAGATGGACTTCAAAACTTGAGAGTCACAAGTACAGTAACAATCCAAACCAATAGCTATTTAGGGAAGGCAACAACAAACACCACTTTATTAAAAACATGAACTAGACAAACTCCTGAAGTTGTTCATTCCAAGAAATTAAGGATACCTTTACAACAGTCTGTAAATACTGTTTTAGTGGCAACTAGCAAACCCCTGTGTGATGGCATCCTAGAAGTTAGAGGCTCTCTGTGCACAGGATCCTTTGAACATTACAAAATGGTTACATTAGGACTCTTTAGTTTGCTGCTAAGAAAGATGTTTTGCACTTGTAGGAAAAAGACATAGTGAGGGAAAGGATTAGTATTCTGTGGACTTCTGCAAAGTCTAGTTAACAAATAAAGTACATATAAAATTATCTACGCAAACTACACTTGTGAGCTGACAAGCATTATTCACTTTGTCAATGAACTGAAGAGAAACTGGTCTTATAAATTTCTAGCAAACATATGGAAGAAAACCACTTAAGTACTTGCTCAGCACTTTCCTAAGTAATGCAATATGAGTTAGGAAAACAAAATTTCCCAAGTGACAGAAGTTTTCCTGTTGCTTAGGAAAATGCAGTTTCCTAAGTAACACTGCATTACTTCGGCAAGTACTGAAGAATCAAAAAAGAAAATGAAGCAGGCTATAACTTTATCTTCTCTATTTCTTTTATCAATCCTACAAGTAAGACAGCCCAACCGAGCACTTACATAATACAGTACAGCAAAATGGAAAAGGCAGTATCTTAATATGAAAAAGAATGCAGGAATATTACATATCTGGGATAATGCTTTGGATTTGCAGCACACAGAGACCACTTCTTCATCACAGGCATCTACAGCAGCAATCCACCTCACACAAAGATATATGCCTAACGCTAACGAAAAAGGAAAACAGCATTTGTTGTTTGCACTTGCTAACTTGCACCGCTAAGTGTCTATGCTAGGGTTTTCTCTGGATAAAGGCAGTGGGGGAAAGTGTCTCACAATCAAGAGATGATCAGGGGCACACTGTTTATAACCTCAGATTTCAAATAAAGATAGGTAGACGCTAGGCTAGGAAAATGCAATGAAATTTTCAACTCCTGTTTTATTAACCGGTCATAGCTAACACACGTCTGTTTGCTGAGAAAAGTGCATTAATATGCTCCTACATAACCCCTGAGGGTGCCATGTGGTAAACAATGCCCTTCAGCTTCTCAGAAACCCCATTATTAGTATCACCAGTTGTCTGTCACATACAAGTGGCAGCAAAGTTAAATTCATCCAAGGCATCTGCTCAGCTCATTACAGTCACTGCCCCATCTCTCTCTAAAGCGCAACACTCCAGAAGGGTGCTTAAATTTCTGTTGGAATTTACGGTTAGCAGTGCTTTAATATCTCATGTGATTCAAGTCTGGCTTAATTATTTATCAAAAACCTACACATTACCAGGGTTAACAGGAGTATGTATCTCACTTAAGGAAGTAGGCCCAAGCAAGAAGTATATTATTTAGTCCTCAGTTTGAGCATAAAGTCAGTACTCCTCAGCCTTAAACTGCTCACGCTCAGCCCACAGTAGCCTGTGTTAAGTTTGTTCTCCTTTTTCACCTCACCCTATGTTATTTTACACCAGTTACAGCACATACTGAATACATACATAACTCTCTGTAACCTGTATTCCAGCAGTGGTACTTCCTGCACGTATACTGGTAAGAACAAACATATACACGCTACCTCATGATTCCTGAGATGATTATGTACAGTGCCAACTCCCAGTTGGGCCTGGGTAGTGCTTCTGCACATGTTGCTAACATGTGATATGGAAGGGAAGCATTCAAGATAAATATGAATTCAGAGCCTCCCGCGGTGATGAATTTTAATTCACGTATGACTCTGGAAGCAGTGAAGTCAGGTGTAAACCTGAAAACAAAGTAAAGCACATTAGAACTTTTCATATGAACAACATGAAAGTTTGAGAGAATTTATGTTTTTCATAAATTACCCCCCCCAACTCCACCAATTACTGCCATGACTGGCACCCCAATATTTATAACAATTAGCCCTAGTAATATGACTAATAATCATCCATGCAATTAGCCTAAAAATACTTATGAGTAGCTTTCAAATACCTCAAGATGTGTTTGACTAAGTTCATAAACACCTATGCTTAACACATCTGATACTAGATTACCCTGATACACCATATGAAGATATAATAACTGAAAGTAAGTTTTGACCAAATCTGTTAAAAGAAAGCTATGAATGCAGTAAAAAAATTAACAGCAGCTGTAAGTAAGCAGTGGAACTGAACATTATGAGAGCTGTAAAGTTTTTAAACATTTCACCTTTAAGTAACAACTGCATGCCTTTTCAAAAACACCACCACTATGTTCCCATCTCATCACAAACTAAGATTGTTGCAGAAATACTAGTGAAGGTTCACTGCCTGCGATGTCTTGTACCTTAGAGAACAGAAGCATCTTCTGAACTTTCTCAATACCATATTCTGAATTGTTAACCTTATACCCAAGCAGTGTTAAAAGATCAGTTTCTGGTGCAGAGATCTTTTGCAATGAAAACTGACATAATTAAACAAACATTATCATTAAGGCAATGGACAAAATATTCAAGACTAAAATGCTGTTGTTGTGGTTTAACCCAGCAGGCAGCTAAACACCTACAGCCACTTGCTCACTCCCCCCACAGAGGGATGGGGGAAGAGAATCGGAAAGAAGGTAAAACTTGTGGGTTGAGATGAAGACAGTTTAATAGGACAGAAAAGGAAGGGAAAATAAAATAGCAATAATAATAACAACAATAACTGACTGTACCAAAAAAGTGATGCACAGTGCAATTGCTCACCACCTCCTGGATGATGCCCAGCCAGTCCCTGAGCAGCAACCACCCCCCAGCCAACTCCCCCCAGTTTATATGTTCAGCATGATGTCATATGGTATGGAATAACCCTATGGTGAGCTGGAGGTCAGCTGTCCTGTCTGTGCCCCCTCCTAGCTTCTTGTGCACCCCCAGCCTCCTCGCTAGCAGGACAGTATGAGAAGCTGGAAAGACCTTGACTTGGTATAAACACAGTTTAGCAAGAACTAAAACATCAGCATGTTATTAACATTATTCTCTTCCAAAATCCAAAACACAGCACTATACCAGCCACTAGGAAGAAAATTAACTCTACCCCAGCTGAAACCAGGACAGCTGTGCATCGTGATGATAATCCTCAGTCTAAAGGCTCTTTTCTACACACTGCAATGCACCAAAACCATACTGAGCCAAATCTAGACCTCGCGTGCATTCACAACCCAAATAAAGGAAATGTATTAAAAAACCATATAGTAACACTATTCCAACTCAGTAAGTTATACTTACTGGATAGTAATAAAAGTAATACTACACTCAGTCATGAAAACTTGAAGTTATTTAAAAAAAAAAAATCAAATAGTGTTTGCAAGAAGAAAGTGTATTAAAAAAAAAACCAAAAACTCTTTAAAAACATCAGAATTTAACCAATGGAGTTCTCCACTGAAACAGAATTTGGTTATACCAAATTCCTAATGTAAGACTCCATTTAGATGTAAGAAAAAACACTTACAATATGACAATGTCTTTAGAGGAATTGGCACTTAGTGCAAACTCATGACAGTTAACGACTTTAAATCCATATCCTTCACATGTATAGCCACTGATTTCCATAGTTTTCACATTAATCTGCAACTGCCCTGTATTTTCCACTTTAAATGTTCTTCTCAGTGTGAAATTCGGTTCTTTGTATTTCATTTCTAGAAAGAAACAGCACAAAGTGGTTAGCGTGATGCTAAACAGATAGCCTTCGCTGTATTTATATTCTGCAGTAGAAGAGAGTTCTGTCAGTATTGTAGCAGGAAAGGGGACTATCGAGGCCCATGGAAATTTTTACGTAATCTGCAGAAACAGATCTCTGAAGCCAGATTCTTATCTCTGTCAAGGTAGGGCACTTGTACACAGCTCCAGAGCACTCTAACTCATCTGGGAAAAACCGCAAACCTCCAAACCTCTGATAGCACTGCCGCCTCACCCAAAAGAAAAAAAAAAAAAAAGAAAAAAGAAAAATCATCTAAGCTGCAAAGTTCTTTGATGATGTACTGCTTAGTGTTCTGGTATTCTGTGAAAAGTCCGAGCATGAGGAGAATTAAAGCTTATTTTTTTGTGTCTTAAAAAAATCTGTGTCTGAGCTACACGTATCTTATTAGCAAAAAATATCCCTAAACCACAACATGTAAAAGGTAATGACTAAGCTTTGCTTGAAGTTTCCTTACTCATCCCTCAAAAAAAGCAAAATAATCTCAGATAATAATTAACATGGCACCTTACAAATATGTCTGGAATTCTGCAAAGTAACAAAACAGATTTTAATACCAGATACAACTAAACCTCTTTTACCAATTCCTTTGGTAATACAGGTACTCTTAGGTGTCCTCCTGGCAGCAAGCCTGGGGCCACAGAGCAGAAAATCTCTGACCCCAGAGTAGAATCTGGCTGGGATTTAATTTTCATCAAGGAACATACCTTATCTTTTTTTCCCTGTTGCCTATGTGCATACAGATTCTGAAGGTGTGAGGGGGAAAAACCAAACAAACAAACAAACACATACACAGAAAGTTGCATCTCCAATCCAATTTTACTTCCAATTGACAAATTAGAGATTATCCTAGTAAATACACTAGGATCTTCACCTCCTCTATTTTGAATTTTAGTGGATGAAGGGCTTTTGTTTCATCTTTCCTAATTTTCACAATAAAATGAAAAAGGTAAAATATTTCATTTTCTGCCTAAATGAAGAAGCAATTTTAATGTATGTAAAGGAATTAAATTTCTGGGGCACTAGAACAGGGGAAAAAAAAATATCCACACACTTCAAGTTGTACGTGTAAAATGTATTTTTTTTTTTCTGTTCAGCTTAGTAGTTCAAGAAGTACTCACTTTCTGAACAGTCTTTTAATAATGCTTCTGTGATTTTAAAGCGTAAAGAACTTCCTGCACCGGGAGGTTTGCCTGCAACCTTCAAGCTCTCAGTAGTTCCTTGCCCTTGTACCATTATGGCATCTATTACAGTCAAATTATTTCTGTGGACAAAGAAAAAGGGGAAACATTCATAAAAGGATTATGCAGGCTACTGCTCCCACAAGCTTCACTAAAGACTATGAAGTTATATCCCAAATCTGGAGGACAGAAATATAAGCAGTTCCACAGATAATTCCCAACACTATGGAAGTAAATAGTGGGGGTATCTAACATAGTGTTTGTAAGACAAAAACCTAAGAAATCACAACATAGTGTACAGATAAAAAAACCCAATGAAGTACTAGTTAAAGTTTATATTTCATCATCATAATATATCACACCTGTTACAAAAGTGAAACAGTTATTCAAACAGAGCTCTCTATTAGAAAGACTGAATTTGCATTGCAGCTTGATTTTTCAAATGGCATCTATAACCTGACCCTACATTCAAGATAGTGTAGTATGTATTCAAGAATTCAAGTCTCCAAATACTGGTGGATGAAAAGCTTGACATAAGCCTGCAATATGTGCTCACAGCCCAGAAGGCCAACCGTATCCTGGGCTGCATCCAAAGCAGCGTGGCCAGCAGGTTGAGGGAGGTGATTCTGCCCCTCTAATCTGCTCTGGTGAGACCCCACTGGGAGTCCTGCGTCCAGCTCTGGAGTCATCAGCACAGGAAAGACATGGACCTGTTGGAGCGGGTCCAGAGGAGGGCCACCAAAATGATCAGAGGGATGGAACACCTCTCCTGTGAGGACAGGCTGGGAGAGTTGGGGTTGTTCAGCCTGGAGAAGAGGATGCTCCAGGGAGACCTTCTTGCAGCCTTCCAATACTTAAAGGGGGCTTATAGGAAAGATGGGGACAGACTTCTTAGCAGGGCCTGTAGCAGTAGGACAAGGGGTAACGGTTTTAAACTAAAAGAGGGCAGTTTAGGCTAGACAGAGGGACGACATTTTTTATGATGAGGGTGGTGAAACACTGGCAGAGGTTGCCCAGCAAGGTGGTAGATGCCCCATCCCTGGCAACATTCAAGGTCAGGTTGGACGAGGCTCTGAGCAGCCTGACCTAGTTATGTTATATCTTACATCTATCTAAGATGTCCCTGCTCACTGCAGGGGAACTGGACTATATGACTTTTAAAGGTCCATTCCAACCCAAATTATTCTGTGATTCTATGATAAGTATAACAGTATATTTATATTAGAAAGTATGTACTGAATACAGTTTAACTACTGTAAAACATATCACAATTACACTTAAACTAAATCTGTCTCTTGACACATGATTCTGTAATTATACCTGTAAAAGTGACAGTTTCTTACTGACACCTGATCACAAGTATGATCATATATAAATAAAAAACATCAGAAACAACTCACACTCATTTTGGAGATATCTATCATACCTGATAACAATCAACGATGAAACAGTTTTATTAAGAACTGGAGTAAACTTTACTTTGACAGACTTTCTCTCACCAGGTTTTAATATTAGGCTTAAAACTGAATGACGAGCCAGGCTCTTTGTAAGTCCTACTGTGCTCTGTAGTGGCTGGACCTTTAGAGAGTAAAGAAAACAAAGTAACACTTTTAAAAATAGGAACTTTTTACATATACTTGACAGAAGAATTATTTTAGCTAGAAAACTGGTCTTGTCATCAGAAGTGTACTCCCCAGTGACATACCGGGTTTTTTTAACCAGAAAGTCTGATAGCACAAGAATTTCCCTACTTAGTAAATCATCTGTGTTTATTAAGAAGCAGAACCCAGCAAGACAGAACTGAGCTAAACTACACCCATGTGAATTCATAAAGCTCACACATAAAGAACAAAGAATTTAGAAGTTCTTAAATGTGTATTTTAAACACAAAATTATCATTAAGCCATTATGTAGCATCTTCTATCCTCAATTTTTTCCACTGTTAAAACATTTTTAGAATGTATAAAGGGGAAAAAGTAAACTTAAAATGGAAGAACTATTGAAAGAGAGTGTATTTTGCCAAGTCTGTCTTTAGATACTGTGCAAGCATAGAATTGCTAATCGAAAACAAACTGCAAATGGAGGGGAAAGGCATATACTGGATGAGAAAAGAAAGTGTTCAGGATGTGGCATGCTCTATATGAAAAAGCACGCACTCAAAGGTTGTCCACAAAACTCGAATCATTTAAGATAAAGAACAAAGCAATGGAAAACTCAATACTTTACTAATTTTAGAACTAGCAACCACTACACTGAAGAAAATAAACCTGTATCAGTATGAGAATGAATAAATGCAGTTTTCCTGTAACTTCCACAATCCTATTATAATGTAAGCATACAGAAAAAGTGACATTTCAACTGTTACATTTGAAAAAATATTACTTTTCCCAATTCCGTGAAAATACCCATCAGAAGCATCACGTCTTTCACACGTACTAATACCTAAACTTGAAGACGTGCAATTGAACTCTTATTAAAACATTAAGATATCCAAATTTAAAAATCTAAAGAACGTATTGAAACACTTACGCAATTTCTGAAGACCTGGAACTCTAGAGTCCTCAGATTGAAATTAGTTGGCTTGCTCAAATTAAACCTGAAAGACATGCAAATTTTTTTCTCCCCACCGATTAGGGAAAATAACGACATAATTGCATTTCAGGATTTTAGCACATACCAAGAACTTACAATACAACTCAAACAACATGCAGCTGAAACAATAACTTGATTTTTCTTAACCCGACCCCCAACCCTACACCAAGTCAAGGAAGAAATGCAAACATCTTTTTAGCTTAGCAAAAAATACAGATGTGCATTCAATGGCAATCAGCCTAGATGCAGTTCTCAGCTGGTCTAATGATTCAAATTCTAGAAGTGGCCAACACTGTAACTACCAACACAGCTGCCAAATACTGCATGCATTTTTTTGTCAAATGCATTTTCATGTAGAGTGAGAACGGCCTAAGTACTCTAAAACAATACTTACCGTTCTAACATTTTATCAACAAAGGCGGATGGGTTAGAATACAGAGCTACAGGAAGGAACTGAATATACACAGGAACATCAGCTGGGTTTTCTAGAAAAATTTCTTCTTCCTATTTAGAAACACAATTTTTTTAAAGTTTACATTAGCATTAATGTAATTAGAAATACCTATTAAAATTCAGTCCCCACAAAATGTTACTATCAACAAAATAACTTACTGATGAACTGTTCGTATTGGTAAGAGGGAAGCTGAGATGGCGTGGTGAACTAAGTATGGAAGGCCAGGCCATTTCTGCTGTAATTTGCAACCGGACATCCTTCTGAAGATCTGTGTCTACTTCAAATACAGCATTCAGTCTGGAGGAACAGTTAAAAACTTACTTTACAGGAGTAAAATAGGAAAAGCCTGGAAAAAGCAGAGGGCTTACAGGCACCCTGAAAACAACATTACTTTGAGAAATAGCATGGTACATTATCACAGAATCATCGAATAGTTTGTGTTGTAAGGGACCTTTAAAGGCCACCTAGTCCAACTCCCCCCTGCAATGAACAGGGACATCTTCAACTAGATCAGGTTGCTCAGAGCCCAGTCCAACCTGACCTGGAATGTTGCCAGGGATGGGGCATCTACCACCTCTCTGGGCAACCTGGGCCAGTGTTTCACCACCCTCATCATAAAAAAACTCTTCCCTCTGTCTAGTCTAAATCTGCCCTCTTTCAGTTTAAAACCGTTACCCCTTGTCCTACTGCTACAGGCCCTGCTAAGAAGTCTGTCCCCATCTTTCTTACAAGCCCCCTTCAAGTACTGGAAGGCTACAAGAAGGTCTCCCTGAAGCCTCCTCTTCTCCAGGCTGAACAACCCCAACTCTCCCAGCCTGTCCTCACAGGAGAGGTGTTCCAGCCCTCTGATCATTTTGGTGGCCCTCCTCTGGATCCGCTCCAACAGGTCCATGTCTTTCCTGTGCTGAGGGCTCCAGAGCTGGACGCAGGACTCCCAGTGGGGTCTAACCAGAGTGGAGTAGAGGGGCAGAATCACCTCCCTCAACCTGCTGGCCGCGCTGCTTTGGATGCAGCCCAGGATATTTATTTTTCAATATTATATTTATATGCAATTAAAAAACCCCACCTGAGCTCTGCCCATATGTACTGCTACTAAAAAGCACAACCGAAACCACCAAAACATGCTATAGTCGACCAACCCAAAGATTCTAAAGATCTTCTCTGTTAAGTATTGTTGTCAACATCAATCCATTCTAAGTTCTGTTATGGCCTATTTATGGATAAAAGGTGAGCAGAAAAGTGTGGTTGGACTTATGCACTGCCTCACAAATCTTTTGGTATTCGCATTTCTCTTAAATCACTGCTCTCTGGACAGCAAGACACAAATTTTATCTTTCATTATGAAGTGCCCAGCTCTCACTATTGCAGAAACAAATTTTGAGAATATAACTGAGCTTCGGGTCAGTAAGAAAAGTAACCTAAAATATATTTGTTGATTTGCAAAGATATAAACACTAGAAAGGAAAAATATCAGTCCTGCTACCATCTGTTTCCAATACAACATCCAGACATCCACTATCCAGAAAACATTGTCTCTGCACATGTGTAATGTACAGTAAATCCATACATGTACTCTAGCTGCAATGGATACATGGGAGTATGTGCCTGTACTCCCATGTAACAAATCTAAAGCAGCTACTATTTCCATCTGTGAATGAAGTTCTTTGCTATCAACCAACCTCTAAAATATACTTGATTCCTGTTCTCCTACCAGCTTTCCACCATGAGCTGGAACAAGACTCACAGTATTGAGTTCTCCAGTCAGCGAAACAGATGAAACACGAGACTTCAAACCTAGACAAGTATTTTTGAGAAACTCCAAATGCCCAAGTCAGAACACCTCCGCATTCAGAAGCGGCAGTTTCTCCGTTGCTGAATGCTACCTTGGATACTCTCTTTAAAAGCATTACATATTCTAGATAATATATTACATTAAATAATAGCATTGTATATTCTAGCTAGAACTGCTACTTATTCAGAAGCAGCTTTTTAATAGAAATTTCCTTTACTGTCACCTCACTGTAGGTGATAGGGCATTCTTGAAAGTTAACAGTGTAGCTAAATAGAGGATATTGTTTAGATAAAATTTGTTCAGGAGTTATTAATATATCAGCATTATAACAAAAACGTGATAAAGGAGGTATGCTTTTGTTACTTTATTTAGCTACATACAGTCATTTTGTTTCTCCATAAACACACACGCCTTTTTTGAAATAGTCTGGATGCGATCATCACAAAAGACACATGCACCTTCTGATAATGCTAACTTATGTCTCTTGGAGATTAAATCATTTTATGTATGAGAAGGCAGATGTTTAAAAGGTATATAGAAGCCTACAGAGTTTGCCTTTTTCTAAATATTATACAGGAACCATTAATCACCTTCTATTTAGCAAATCCCAAGGAAAATTACCAGACAATTTGATAATTCACTGAAATGCAATAATCTCAGAATAGCAGCAAAAGAAAACCTTATGAAATCTTAGAGGGATATGGAGGTTACTACTTTAAAACAGATTAAGCAGGGATACTGCACAAACAGTATAATTTCTTTTCAGAAATTTTTGCAGAGTAGAGACTGCCTTGCTGCTGTCATCTTTTCAAGAACTGCAGCATACTCCAGTGATTAGTAACTTTCAGTGTTGTGTTTGACTTGAGGAAATTATCACTGTTTAAATTTTAAAATGTTCTCTTTAAAGGTTTTGCAGAGAAGGCCAAATAACTCCTTCTTGGCCCCCTTTCAAAGAGCACTACAATATTAACAAAACTTGCATTTTATAAGAGCACACATAACACAAAATTATCTAGTGATTTAAGACTTGAGGAAGTAACAGGGATAAAATACTTACCTATGGCTTGTGTTCTCTTTTATTTCTGTCCATCCTTTAAATAAGTACTCGTGCAAATCCCAGTCAGAATCCCATGCATCTTCTTGCATTGCTACACCATGCTGAACTTTAGATTCCGCTTTAAAAAATAATGGGTTTTTTAAACTCTTTATGTAGTATCATTGCTTAAGGAGAAGAAAACTTTTTTAAAGATTTTCATAACAAAGTTGAAGGTTACTTACATTTAGATAGAAAAGGCAATCCTACATAACAATGATCTCCACATTGTAAAGCAGGATCAAAATAAATATTTGCAATCTGCAAAACAGGTAACAGCAGACCAATTAAGAAACAGCAAAGTAAACCTAATTACCAAAGAAAAAAGAAAGACTTCTGATGACCACAGCAGCTTAACATACACTATACATAAGGGAGAACTTGTAAACATGTAGAAATAAGACATAAACAAACCTTTGATTTTTTTCCTGGCTCTAAATCTTCTTTATTACTTCTTAACCTCTTATAATAAAACCTTACATCTTCTGACAGGGAGCGTATGTGTTGTATTTTCACTTTCTGAGAAAAGGAGTTCATAATGTTCAGGCTCTGGTGAACCACTTTCCCCTAAAGAAAAGAAAGGATAAAAAAAATCTGCAATATATGCATTTTCCCTAGCACATGTATTTTTTTTATGCAGACTGGTAAAGACCACAGCAGAGCCAAAATGTTAAATTGAGATTTTTAGCTATGCTATCTTCTTTCAAAAATGCCACTTGTAACACTTCAAAGTAAGTTTCTGTGAAGTTCTATTCTTTTCTCCATCTGCTTCCAAACACAGTTCATCCCTCTTTCAAAATTAAGTACACCTTAAGTGTCTTGAAAAGCTAGGCCAACAGTTCTGCTTAATCCAAGTCATTAAGGTTGGAAAAAACCTTTAAGATCCAGTCCAGCCATCACCCCAAGACCACCATCCCCACTAAACCATGTCCTGAAGTGCCATGTCTACACGTTTTCTGAATACTTCCAGTGATTGTGACTCCACCACCTCCAAATCATGTTTAAAAAGTACCAGTGGAGGAAAGGCAAGAGAACACTTTCTCTGAGACTCCTATTACAAAAGGGAAACAAGCTTCTTGTAAGAGTTCTAGTACATAGCTGCTAGTAATAAGAAATAACCTGAAAGGATCAGCAGAGTGAAGCTGTAGATTACAAATACTACGGGTGACAGAGGGCATTTAAAAACATAGGTACAACCCCCCTTCTCACTCCAATCAAATTATGACACTAGGCACTAAAATTACAACATTTAAAAAGAAAACTCTGCAAGTTTTTTCCCCACACCTTTACACCCTGCCTCCTCTTCTGAGCCAAACATCATTTTACCTTTTAAGCATAGAACATGTAGTTTAATTGTTTGTCAGGATCAGAATCATTACAATGCTCAAGTTCCCCCCCTGCCCTCACTTGTAAATCAATGATTCTGTGGCCATGTTTTACACCTTATGTCAAAAACCAACCCTGACAAGCACAGACTACATGATAAATAAAAAACAGAAGAAAGAGAAAAAGCAGAACTCGGGACTGGTGACAAGATTTCAGATTTATATAAAATAAATGAACACAAGCAAATTTAAATACCCAAGACTAATGAACACGACTACACGCTTTCATGTTCCCCTTAAACCAAAACCTCCAGCTTTTTAAAAATTTCTCTAAGGTAAGGACTGTCGTGGAGAGTCAGGAGAGATGCACTTTTGCAGGTTTAGAACTGACTGTGGCCTCAGGAAATTGTCACATACTATAACAGTCTCTATGGTAGCAACTGCAGAGGGAAACAAACTACAAGAATAAATTTCTCAACAGTATAGTCCTGTTAAACTGAATAGGAGGTATTTCTGAGCTTCATCTATGGAATCCTATGAGTAACAAACTGCCATCAATTGGGCAAGATAAAGGTTTGTTAAACTCTGTAGAACAAATTAACAGTATTTTACCAAGAACCTTACGCCACATTTAGACATGAAACAACAGACAAGGGAAGATGACTTTACCCATCAGTAAAAAGAAAAATAGAACAATGCTATTTAGCATACAGGTCCTCAAAGATCAGCTTTGATCAGGGAAGAGTGGAGAGGTGCCACTGTGAGCTAAAAATGCCATTATAAAGCAGAAGTCAATACAGCTAAGATCTGTTTAAATCAAGACCCTGATATTTACAAGGCCTGTATACACTGTTAGTGTATTGCTGACAAACTTTGACAGAATACCAGAAATGAGACTTAGGTGCAAATACACTAAAATTACAAATGGAGACAGACAGCACTGGGAATCGGGCAGGTGCAGGAGAATTACGTTCTAGGTATGAACTGAAAACAAGTGTTACTAAAATTGTAGCACCTTATTCCTGGATGTTATAGCTGTCAAACTTCTCGACAAGGAGAACTGATGCTATTTTAGGCTTATTTTCATAAGAATTGGAGGCATTACAGAATAACCAGATGTAAGAGTATCATGAATTCAGTGACCACAAGGGCTCAGTATTGGGGTGAGTTCTGTTTAGTATCTTTATCAGTGATCTGGATGAGAGGATCGAGTGCACCTTCAGTAAGTTTGCAAACAACACCAAGTTGGATGAGAGCGTTGATCTGCTTGAGGGTAGGAAGGCTCTGCAGAGGGATTTGGAGAGGCTGGATTGATGGGCCAGCTGTACGATATTCAACAAGGCGAAGTGCTGGGTCCTGCACTTGGGTCACAACAACTCCATGCAACACTACAGGCTTGGGGAAGTGCAGCTAGAAGGCTGCCTGGTGGAAGAGGACCTGGGGGTGCTGGTTGACAGCCGGCTGAACATGAGCCGGCAGTGTGCCCAAGTGGCCAAGAAGGCCAACAGCGTCCTGGCCTGTATCAGGAATAGTGTGGCCAGCAGGAGTAGGGAAGTGATTGTGCCCCTGTACTCAGCACTGGTGAGGCTGCACCTCGAATCCTGTGTTCAATTTTGGGCCCCTCACTGCAAGAAGGACGTTGACATGCTGGAGCGTGTCCAAAGAAGGGCAGCGAAGCTGGTGAGGGGTCTGGAGCACAAGTCTTCTGAGGAGCGGCTGAGGGAACTGGGGTTGTTTAGCATGCAGAAGAGGAGGCTGAGGGGAGACTTTATCGCTTTCTACAACTACCTGAAAGGGGGTTGTGGTGAGGTGGGTGTTGGTCTCTTCTCCCAAGTAACCAGCGATAGGGCGAGAGGAAATGGCCTCAAGTTGCTCGAGGGGAGATTTAGACTAGATATTAGGAAAAAATTATTTACTGAGAGAGCGGTCAAGCATTGGAACAGGCTGCCCAGGGAGGTGGTGGAGTCACCATCACTAGAAGTATTCAAAAAATGTGTGGATGTGGCGCTTCAGGACATGGTTTAGTGGGTATGGTGGCGTTGGATTGACAGTTGGACTTGATGGTCTTAAAAGGTCTTTTCCAACCTTAACATTTCTGTGGTATTTGTTCATGGCCCAAAATGGAACAAAATATTTTGATGTGGCATTCAAGAGAGACCTCGATCTGCCATTGTAATATAAATTATGATACAGAATATAGAAATTGCTTTATCTTTGGTGGAAGAAAGTGAAACGGACCTCTAAGTTATTTCAGTTTATCAAAGGCTTATAGAGCACTTCATAGATGAAGTTACAGATACAGGAGTCAGTGTAATAAATACCCCTATATGGTGAGGCCATATAGTCAAATAGGAAACATAGATCCTAAAGAAAAAAATAACATATGATTTTGCCACTGTAGGCATGACCGTTTGACCTCAAGAGTAGCAAAAGACTTCAGAACAATTGGTGAAGTAGATCAGACGGGAGATGGAATGGATAATGGGGCAAAGGTAGCAATGATTTACTCAAGTCCGGCAGACTGACCTATCTTTCTCCTATGAGACCTACTGCATTACTGTTTTGAAAAATTTGTCATTTATCTACTGGACATGAGGTAAAACATTTGATAAAGTGCTAGTGAAAAACTACTATTTAAGAGTACACATATTGTAATATAAGCAGTAGATACTAAGGAGCTATAGGAAGAGGAGGCTAAAACAGACAGTGCTCTATGACAGACAGAATATGGAGAACAGAAAAAGAAACAAAAACCACTTCCACCAACATACATGGAGTTAGTTTTATCCTTTCAGAAAACTGCCATCTGTAGCTCCTTTTGCTACTCCCCCGCCCCGTTTTCAATCTCCCTCCCTATGATTTTCCATCATATTACATTCCCCACTCATCAGAAAGTCACATGAAGTTCAGACTGCAATGAAATACCAATTGCAAAGTCAATATGCCTTAACTGCCCACGCTTCCATGGTTATGCTGAATGCCAAGTGAGAAGAAAGTACTATCTGGTTAATAGCTTGCTGCTTGAGTCTGTAGGCCTGAGCAAAGAAGCTGCTTTCAGCATTCACTGAATAAACACTACTGCAGGAGCAGGGATGAAAACAGCCATTACATACTTTTACAGAGAGCTGTAGAGTCACACAGCTTTCTTGCTTTCCTGTTCATGTACTCCACCACGTACCCTTGAGAAGATCTGCTTTCAGTGCGGAAACAACACAATAATGCTTCCACAGAGATCAAGGACTTCTTATACTAAAACATCACTTTACTAGCTGACTTTGGTCTTTGGTATTACACTTCAGGAATTTAAAAAACGCATTTGTGCAATTTAACCCCTCTTACTCTTTGTGCTAATGCACATGAATTGGTAATAACCAAGTGACCACAGCTACATTAGAAAGAAGCTGCAAAGAATCAGGTTTGGGATCATATCGGTATTCCAAGACCCCATTTAAGCGGGCAGTAGAGGAGGTAACTCATGCTTGGGACACATGAGGGGAAAAAAAACCCAAAACAGCAACAGACTGAATCATAACAGTTCAATAGCACAACCTCTCCAGCAATTTGACATGCAACAATTCACGACAGCAGTTTCTCTTGAAAAAGACAGATAAATAAAAAACACGGCAAGAAAACATTTAATGCTATGACCCAACTTTCTTACTGGAAAAGAAGGTGGAAGAAACACATGTTTTGGGGAGCAGGTCAGCGAGCCAACAGCAATCACTGCCTTCACTGGTATAGTTAAAATCTGGGGGGAAAAAAAAAGAACAAGAAAAGTTTAAAAAAAAAAAAACTTTAACTCCAGCCTTTAAACATCTTCCTCTTTTAAATTGCACAGAATAACAAAACTCTGAAATTCTACAATTAATGTAGTTGAGCTTTATATACACATTTAAAACATGGAGACATGAATTAAGATTTCAACACATGATATTCAGAACAGTCACTCCATACTGTCAGGAAGCACACCTTTGCTCAGTCATACTTAGAATCATTCTACATGGAACACAAAAGCACAGTAAAAATCTAAGCTCTCTAATGGGGCATTACATAGGTCTCACTAATGGGGATTACTTTGTTGGAAAACAGGAGGATAACACCTTTAAAGTAAATGAGTATGAGGGAAGAGGATGTACTGAACTTCTCAAAAAACATTAGAAGTCACGGTTAAGACCTTGAGATAGATGTAGACTTTGAAAAATAAGTGTGGAAGGGATGGCAGTGAGATCCTTTCTGTGTATTATTAAATCTACCAATACAAGTAGAATAACTCTAAGGACCAGCAAGAAAATAAAATGCTTCAGACTCTATAACTGAAGGGTCACATACATGCATGGACATATTAAAAGAAAGCTTAAAATCTCAGATAACTGACAGAGATTAGGAATTTCCTTTTTTTCCAGCTGCATCAGAAACTACACAGTAAGCTTAAGCTATACAATTTTCTGACTTCGTAAGCACAGTGTACCACCTTTATTTTTTTTCTACATATATCACCTAAAGATATTAAGTACAGATTCCATTATGTATTAGAATTTCTCTCTTCTGAAAAATAATTTATTAACAGGAAAGGCATATGAAGTTGAGAATTAACTGGTTGTTCTTTGGTTGTTTTTTTCTGTGCGTGTTTTTCTGTTCTTAATCATTTTAAACTTAAGAGAGAGTAGATTTAGACTAGATAGAAGGAAGACATTTTTCACAATGAGGGTGGTTAAACAGTGGTACAGGTTGCCCAGAGAGGTGGTAGATGCCCCATCCCTGGCAACATTCCAGGTCAGGTTGGACGGGGCTCTGAGCAACCTGATCTAGCTGAAGATGTCCCTGCTCACTGCACGGGGGCGTTGGACTAGATGACCTTTAAAGGTCCCTTCCAACCCAAACTATTCAATGATTCTATGATTCTTCTCTCCCTTACTAATCCTAGTGTAAGAACTCTGTTTCATAAGCTGTCAGCAAACTGCAAGTTCTCCAAAACAACTTTCACATTGGGTTTTGAGAAAAAACCTCCAAAATTATATCTCAATTTCAGTAACTGATAACGTACCAAAAAGCACGTTGTCAGCATGTGTTAAGCAAAAAAGACCAATGTACTGATGCTTTGAGGATGTGTCAAGTCATTGAAGAACCCATACATCAAAGTATTAGGTCAGATTTAAATGAATCTGAAAGCCAGATGAAAATAATAATGAAAATCATTCTTCATTCCTTCAAAGAAGACACAGTGTAAGTAGCAATATTGTCATCTGATGCAGGGTTTAACTTGCAGAGATAACCTGACCTCCAGAAATCAATTCCATCTCAAGTTCTCCCTGATACTGCAATCTGTCCACTAATACAACTCTCAAAACTTCACACTTAAAATTTAACACATAATTTAACATATAATTTGCGCAACACCCATGAATATACAGTAAACATACCTCATAATCTGTCGTGATTTGTACAGCTCCATCATGAATTCCTTCAAGTTCTTTCGCTGTTAGTTTTACTCTAAACACAGCATAATAACCCGATGCTAGTATTGCCTGTAAATGGTAGAAAAAGTCATCCACTGTATTACATTATAGAAAGAAATGTCATTAAAAAAACCCATACCCAACATTCTCTTGTGTCTTTAAACTGAATCAAAATCCTTTTGAAACAACTGTCAGTGGTAAAAAGAAAAATTCAAACACATAAGTTACTAACACAAAAATGAAGAATTCCTTGAGGTGGTAAGTTCCCCTCTTCCCAGATAAATGATGAGCATCATCTGAGGGCATGGAGGTTATTGTTTATGAAGTTTCCCCTTTCAAAATCTTACCAATCTGAACATAATACTGCTTCTCAAAATAAATTTTAAAAATACTACATGCTTTATCATACTCAAATTCAGACAAAAATTAAGAATTCTTACCCTCTCACCCCTGTTAAAATGAAACTGCAAGAGGTTGCACAGCTTTGTCTCTTCGCCCTCCAACTCCAAATTAAGCAATGGATTCAAAGGATTACTTACTGAAGACTGATCAGATGCACCAGCATTCTGTAGTTCGTGGTGGTTTGCAATTATTGTTGTTCTGTTTCCCTTTTCAGTTGTTAGAAGTTCTATGGCCAAACCATCCCCTATAATATGCCAACTTTTTATAGCCAGCTTAAAAAGAACAAAAGGTACTGTTTTCAGTAACACCACTGACGTAAATTTTTAAAAAGGCAAACTGAAAATAATTCCATCCTTACCTCTATCGGATTGCTGTTGATGACTGCAAATAAAATGCTAGTAGCTTCTGTTGCACTCAATATGCCAAAATCTATAAACCGTTCCTCAGTTTTTGGAGGCAGTACAAAGTACTAGAAAGATTGATAAAGGTATTTTAGCATAAGTTAAATATAAAATGTGCTCAAACTCTAAGCTCATTAACAAATAAGTCTAATACAACAGTACCGTGACAATCTCAAAATTCTATGTATTTTCTATGTAAAACTAAAGGGAACAAGAAAGAATTTTTCAGCAGTAACTGAACCTGTTTAAGGAAAGAACTGGTAAAATAACGTTTAAATTAAAAAAAGCCATTCTCCCACAGAAGTAGAATAAAGAATTAAAAACAGTCCTATGAAGTCTGCCTCTAATTAGACTGAAGTAGCTAGAAAAAAAAAGGAAAATACTTACATCTAGAAATCCTGTGTATGCTCGGACAGGCAGGTGAAATTTAGAAGCATTGGTGATAAGTAAAATATTATTATCTATATGAACAGATGATGTGGAAGGCATAAAATGAAGTGTAAAAATATATCTGGATTCATTAGGTGGAATTAAGACTGGTTTGCTGAAGTTCTGGACCTAGATCAGTGAACAATGAAGATCAATGTTACAATTTAACAAAGAGCAGCACATTTAAACATTTACTATTAGGTAAAAACATCCACTGAAATGGCGCTTACTTTAAACATTGGTTTTGCTTCCTCTGGTAACACAACATCATGTATAAGGACTGCAAAACTGAACGTGTTTGTTAGATAGATCAGTCTTTCCACGGAATCAGCAGCACTGTCACGGATGTGAAAGAGTG